TCGCAAACCCTGAAAACGGCGGGTGACTCACTGCATAACTATGGCACCAACTGCCTGGAGCCTCGGCAGGGAGGGGGCTGCAGCCGCTTCCTTTACCCACTGCCAGCTCCTCTGCTCTCCTGAACTCGCCGGGACCGTTTGGCCGAGAGACCGAGAACTTTTTCCTTCCTCCTCCGTGCTAAGCGCCTCCGGCCTGGAGGTAGGGGTGGGCGCCGAGGGGAAGAGATGGACGGGAAAAGGGCAGCGCTGGGGTCTGAGGAGAGGCTGGTGCTGGCAGGGGATCCTGCCCACCCTCCTGCCTGCCAAACACCTGGTGTGGCAGCAGCCAGAGGTCGGGCATGTCCCCTGGAGGCAGCTGCTCCCGGGGGACTTGCTCCCCTGCCCTGTGCCCAGCCCGCTCCAGTGGCTCTGGTGAGGTAGGGGCTGCTGGAGATGTACCCAGGGTGGGGTTTGGTACTGGAGGAGAGGAGGGAAGGACCTGGTGATGCTCTAGAAAATGCAGCACACACCAGTTGCTGTAAGTGGTCCATTCATCACAGAGCATCTTGGCTTGTGCGCTGTGCGGCTGTCCTTGTCCCTCCTCCAGACATGGAGAGCTGTGCTGTCTCAGGCTTAAAAATAGAGGAGACGCCTAAATGTGCCCCCTAATATGTAGGATAGTATCTTGCAGTTTTGTACTTACAGAATTATTACCCCCCCCCGCCCCCCCATCTTTATTTTTTACTAAGTCGTGTGATGATGAGGGGTCTCAACTGATAAAATCCAAGTGACGGCAGCACGGGCTGAGCCAGCACCTTCACCCACACGGCTCCCATTGGTCTCCACACCCCACCTTTGCATGCCCCCCAGATCCCGCCGCCCCCTGTTTTCAGATATGAATGAGTTTGTTTACTCTCCGACGACCTCGTGATGTCTTTGCACAGACATGACCTGAAGTGATTATTGCTTTTGGGCTTCTCTGTTTCCATGGTGACTGTCTCTGGGTTGGCTACTTTCCCAAGGTCACCATGGCAACTATCAGAAGGGAATCATGCTTGGGATGCTTTGGCTGGATTTTTCATGAATGATTAGGATGTGTGACACGATGCAGACGTGGAAATGGGGAGGGTTTGGGCTGGGCTGGAGAAGGGGGGGTGGTAAGAGAGAGAGGACTCCCACCAGACAGGCTGTGTGCTCTGCAGGGTGTGCAGCCCTCCAAGCCACCCTGCGTCGGGGAGGGGGGACCAGCATCTCACACCCTCCCCGCTGGGGGAGCGACAGGCAGAGGCTGTGATGGTGGCACAGCTGCTGTCACCTCTCTGGCGGTAGGGACCCAGCAGCCAGCCATCAAGGCAGGGGGAAGGTGGTTGGGTGGAGGTGTGGGCAGGTGGATTGTTTGCGAGGTGCTGATCCGAGGAGGGCAGCTGCTGGCTGAGGTGAGAGCGAAGGGCAGTGTCTGGGCAGGGGGTGGTGTCTCTGTTGGTGGACATGCCTCCACCTTGCTGGGAATATCAGGCAGGTCAGCTCTCAAAACCTGGGGCTGAGAGAATTGGGAAGCAGCAGCCCTGGTGATTTGGGAGAGGCGAGCTCCTGCCTGGCTTTGTTTTCAGGGGTGGGAGGGGGGCTTTTGTTTCTGTTGTTTGGGTTTTCTGGTAGCGTCTCTCGTTTGGGTGGGGATGGCACTGAAAGCAGGTTACAAACCAGACAGCTTCTTTCTGGGTTGCTGATTCAATTTTGAACCAGGTTAATAATAGTCAAAATAAGAATGAAGGGAGTAGTTGTCTTGTGGCTTTTCAGAGCCTTTTATGAGTGGAGGTGACTCTTAATTCAGTCCCTAATAGGCCATTCTGAGCGTCTGGGATTCCTCCGGAGGGAAGTGAGCAAGTGACTGGGCCTTGGAGGCCACGCTCTGCTCCCCTTGGAAAGGGGTGGCATATTGCAAGGTGGTGTATGGTAGTTACCCTAACTGTTGTTTACAGACTGGAGCTGGTGTCCTTTCCCCCCTCCCTGCCCTGTCGTTCCTACTTAATCTTAGTGTGGTTCACAGCAAAATATGAGTCCTTAGCATTAAAAAACAATGCAGTTGTCACTGCAAATTCCTCTTTCTTGTATCTGAACAGGGTAAACTGATCTTCAAATCCATCCTGGTCTTTTAAACAAATGTGTGGTGACTTCTTTTGTTGGTGGATGAGCTGGGGGTTTGGACTGTGTTTTGGGTATCTTTTTCTTGCCTTCATCTCTGAGATTACTGTAACCTGAAAATCTTGTTTTGTTTTTCCAGTTGCAATTTCTGAGCAGTTTTGTCCAGAAGACTGTGCTCAGGTTATGACGACTAATCCCAAACCGAACAAGGCATTAAAGGTAGGGAAGAAAGCTGAGCGGGTGATGTTGGGTGGCTGGGGAGGCTGTAGCAGAGCTATACTCCATTGGTCACACATGATTGTTCTTTTCCATTCTGAGAGACTCTTAGAAATAGGTGGATACAATTTCCCACTATCTGCAGGCAAGGTTAGGGTAGAAGAATACCAGCAATACCCAGAAAGAAGTCTGGAGACTCTGTGATGGCATGAAGGCTAGAGTATCCCAGTTGCTATCCAAGAGACTTTTGACTCTAGTACGTAGTGCCAGCATCCTGAAACCAGTGCTTTCAGGACTGGGAGGCACTGGGGAAAGGACATGTCCAGCTGGTGTCTCTCAGATCCATGAAACAGTAAATGCCACCAGCTTGGTGGTGGTCTGTACATGGGTTGTTCATGCATTGTCAGTTTCTTTCCAGTGTCTTAGTACTTCATTCCAGTTGTCCTGCAGTCAGGACAAAAGGATGATGTCTTTCTTAAAGGTTCTGGACTCGATGATCTTGAAGGTCTTTCCCAGCCTAAATGATCTAATGATTCTGAATATAATGGTGGCAGCAAACCTGCTTGAGAAAAAGGCACAAAGTTTTGGTGTCTTTCTCATGTAACTTTAGAGTCTGTCCTGTGTACCAGTGAAACTAAGTCAGGCTGTGGCCCTTGAAACCAAGTAAGTTTGGTTTTATTCACTACTTGGGTGACGAAAAGCCAGAAAATGCTGAATTAAACCCTACATGCAAGTGGCTATTCTGCTTTGGAGATGTTATAGTGTTCCAGCATAATGCTGGGAAAAAATGTAGTCTTTAGCATTCAGTGTGAAATCTGGGTCCTGGCAAAGAAACAGAAAGGCCTTCGATCTGCTTTACATTTCTCTCCTTAAAAATCTGAGTTCATACTGGGAGTGTAAGGCTCTGGCTTTCTCTGGCTTAAGAGGGTGACCCAAACCCAGAAACAGCACTGCTCAGATCTCTACCATGTTTTACACCAGTGTTGTAGTGGAGCATGCACTCTCTATAGTGCTTGAGGGGTGGTTTCCAGGTAGGAGTGTCTCATTGCTGTGGGGTGGCCTGTCTCTTTTCACTGTCCAGAACATCCGTTCACCTAGGGTTGCTGCTACCCCTGTGCTGTTGGTATTTGCAGGTAAAGGAGGAGTCAGGAGAGAATGCCCCAGTGCTGAGTGATGATGAACTCGTGTCAATGTCCGTACGGGAGCTGAACCAGCACCTGAGGGGTCTCACCAAAGAGGAGGTCATCCGTCTGAAGCAGCGGAGGCGCACGCTGAAGAACCGGGGCTACGCTGCCAGCTGCCGCATCAAGCGCGTGACTCAGAAAGAGGAGCTCGAGAGGCAGCGGGTTGAGCTGCAGCAAGAGGTGGAGAAGCTGGCCAGAGAAAACAGCAGCATGAAGCTAGAGCTGGACGCCTTGCGCTCCAAGTACGAAGCACTCCAGACCTTTGCTCGTACTGTGGCGCGAGGGCCTATTACCCCGACCAAAGTTGCCACCACCAGTGTCATCACCATCGTGAAATCAGCCGAAATCTCATCCAGTTCTGTGCCGTTTTCAGCAGCGTCCTAGTGCCCTCGGTGGGGGGAACTAGCAGCCTTTCAGAGGGGAGGGGAAAAGGCTCTTATGCATTGTTCCGGAGTCCTTGGTCACGTCAAGAATTGGCATTTTAACAATTCTCTTCCAAAAGTGCAAAAAATAGAAGAAGAAGAAAAAACAAAACAAAACAGAACCCTCAAACCTACAAAGGGAACTTAACCGGCTGCTTCTATCTGGACTCAGTGGCTCCATCAACCTCTTGTGTCCAGGATTTGAGCTCTATATGCAGTACAAGTTGCTTCCTCCTTCCCCCTGCCTCTCCATACCCCTCTCAGCTGTGGGCAGCTTTCCAGCTGGGAGAAGATACCTGAGGAGCCTCCGGAGTCTTCGTGAATGATGCTCAAGAGCCAGGAAACAGATGGACCGAAGAAATCATCATGTGAGATGAATGTATGGGAAAAAGAGTTTCCTTTAGTGGCATCCTACTCCCTGTAAGAAGGGTCTCCCCAGCTTTCCCCACTTCCACCTGATATTGCGAGGGCAGGGATATAGGCTTTTTGGATTGGATTTCAACCTGCTGTGAGTGGATGGAAGCGGGAGGACGATGGAGACTAATGCTTGGGTCTGACCACATCCATTAGGAGTAACCTTCTGTTTTCAATCCATGCTGTTAAAATATGGAAAAAAAATATATATATTTTGCATATTTTAATAAGCCCTATTACCTGTGTGGCCTAGAAAAAATACATTGCAGCCGCCTTTATTCCAAGCCCGAGTTTCCTGATAGCTCCTTCCCCTAAGGTGTGCCTGTGAATTGGGTGTATTTATGCAGTTTATTTCTTCCAAATGATCCGCAGTCTTGGAAGTAGTGGCTTTTTTGGTTTTTGTTTCTGGATTCCCTGAAGCTTAAGGGAAGGAGGCACAGTAAATGCTGTGAAGAGCTGTGTGATGGGGAGGAGAAGGGGAGATGAGGAGGTCAAATGCTGCAAGTACTACCAGGTGGAGGCAGAACTGGCTGCAGGAAGGTGGGACAGTTCTGCTGGAATCCGCACTATAAGAAGGGGTTTGTGTGGAGTATTTTGGAAAGATATTTTTAAAGCACTGAAGTGTAACTAGAGGGCAATAGTGTTCAGACGGGAGAAGAGAAGTTACAAAACCTCTTCTTTGACAAAAGCATTGGTAGGTTAGCAATGAATATCCCAGCTGGAGAGCTGGGCTCACCAGTCTTTGATGACCAGAGAAGGGCTATGGGGAGGTCATACTGGAGCTGGAATAGTCTGTTCCTCTTCATAGCACATCAAGCTCTGAAGCTGGGATCCAAAGAGTACAGTGAACAACCCTCAGTGTTCAGACAACCTGTGTGAATGTGACCCTGAAACTTGACGCTTTCTCTTGGGAATGGGTGAATTATCCTGAGAGATTCACAGAGGGCAGGATAGAAAATTGGTGTGTGTAGGGGACAGAAGAATAGGGATCGAGAAGTTGTTTGTGTGGCTCTGAGTAGTGGTTTGGGAGAGGGATTTCTGGCTTGGCAATGGGCAGGAGGTGGAAAGCTGAAAGGAGAGATTCTGCTGTCACGCAGCAGCGCTGAAAAGACGAATGTTTCCAGGTCACTGTAAAAAAAAAAAAAAGCTATGTTGGTGTTTGTGTGTTTTGTTGTTGTTTTGGGTTTTTTTCTTCTTTTTTTTTTTTTTCTTTTTTTTCTTTTTGAAGTAGGAAAGAAAAGGGACTGTGAGTTTTGCAGGACAGGTCAGAGACTTGTGGAATGGACGATGCCTGATGCCTGTTGTCACGCGGGTGAGAAGAGAATGAGATTGCTGGAGTTTAAGATGAGGGGAAGAGCTTAGAGGATTTAGGCTGCAGAACAGAAAACAAAGATCATGGAGAATTCACAAATGTTTTGGACTGAAAGAGAATAATCAAGTGCCACCGTTGTTGCAAAGGGGACAGTGAACTGGCATCTGACACCCAGTATAATTTGTTGTTTGAGGCAAGTAAGTTTGTAGAAATTTAGTGAAGCCCTACTTGTCTTTGGAAGAAGTTGTTAGCTTGCTTTTTCTTTTTTTTTCCACCTTGTCATCAGAGTCTCTGGATTTCCCAGGAGGGTCCTTAGTGAAATAGGTTAATGAAAAGAGAAACCTCAGACTTGGTTCTCGTTCAGTCCTCAACATTGACATCCGTGACCTTACTGAGCCAGAAAGGGTGTATAGTGAAACACTTCCTGAAGGCTCATTACCCTTGCCACATCCATGTGTTATGGAGTGGAGCAGGGAGTTTCCATCAAGTGATTTTCCAACACTTAGAGTTTGGATGACACTTAGAGTTACCTCATTTCTCCTCCACTCCCTCCCTATCTCCAAACAGGCAGATCGATGTCCTGTGTATCAGTACCAGTTATTGACTCCCACAGCAGAAGCTGAGGAAGAGAAAGATGTTACTGTCATTTCCTGGTCCTCTCATGTTCTCCAGCTCACAGACATTGGAAACTTTCCCAGACCTTACAGGTGCCTCCGAAAGCAGGCAAAATGGAGACTCCTGGCACTGTTGGGGCTTTAAATGAAAACTTTAATGAAAAGGCCAGTTGACTTGAAAATGCCCAAATGCTTCCAGTCTTTAAAACAGCTCCAGAGCTCCATAACATTCCTGGCTAGATAGGAACACCCTCTGGCTGCCCTTGACCCCTTCCCCTGACTGGGGAAATCAGACCAGTCGCACTGAGGGGGACAGAGGTTGAACTTTGTTCAGTGGGGTCTTCTTGCTGTTGGAAGGAGTTGAGAAACATATCTTTGCGTGGCACTTCCCTTGTGGCCAAGTATTTCTTTTTTTCCAGTTCTTGGAAGAGTGCCAAAGGCTTGTCCAAGTGATTGCTAGTTTAGTGCTGGTAGACACTTAAATCTCTGGTCACTCGATAAAGAACAAGAGGCCTGGGTGTTGTTAAAGCTGTTGATACCATAGCCATGGTAGGTAATCCATATTGGATATCCATAAGGACCACGTGGAAATATTTAAAGAGAGAGAAATATATATATAAATATATAATTATATACATTTTATTGTACAGATTTTTTGTAAAAAAAAAAAAATGTGATGCAAAATTTAGAGTTCTGTGTGTTGATGTGAGCGTTAGTAAACCTGAATGAGAAATGAGCAATACTCCAATGATGAAAGGCTTTTGAGTTTTGTAATAATGTCTTACAACATTAGCTTCTTACAAGCAATACTATGAAAAGAAAATATATAATGGCAGAAATTGTTCTGGAGTTTCATTTGACTTTCCCCCTGTAATGTGACTCAGGAATTTAGTTATGTAAAAATATGACTAAGTCCCTTTTGCCTCTGAGGTATAGACCTGGGTGAAATCCAGTATGAGGTTGGGTTTCAATAAATTGGAAAAGTTCTTTCACAGTCTTTTAAACTTTGATTTTGGGACAAACCTACATCAAAAGCTGGAGTAGGTTCCTCATCTCACTATTCCATGGTCAGGTGTTAGTTTTCTTTCCTCTTCAAATAGCATCCGATAACTAAATTAAACTCTCAGCATTAATAAATCATTCCCCTGCAGAGTAAAACCTGTAATTTTTCATAGATGTTGTCTTTTGTAGCTTTTGAAGTGTAGTTTTTCCGGCTCTGGAGTGAATCCCTGGGTAGATCCAGCAAAGAGAGAGAGTGAAGAAGACCCCAGGTGCATGCTGTAGAGTTTTTTAGGGTGACCTCCTTAATGTAGGCCGGAAGATTGGAAAGTGATGTATTGACTCCTGCTAACAGTCTGCTATTTGGGTTATTTATTTTATGTAATGAAAAGTCAAGTGTGGTTTCTGTCACAACCTGCCCCCATAGCTGTTTTTTGCAGCAACTGACACTCTGCCTTGTACCTCCCTGCAGACACACTGGTGGGTTTGTCCTCACAGCAGAAGTGAGGAGGGGGTGAGAACAGAGGAGGATCCTTCAGAACTGCATGAGCCTGGCTAAAAATCAGCCTAGCCCATCTGACCAGCCTGGACACTCTGCCTTGGAAATGCATATGCCTTTGCATTTAGAGGGTAAAGGAGAGCTAGCTGTGTGGAAAGTGGTTTTTGGGCTGAAGTGTTGCATGCTGACTTGCAAAACCTACATTCCAAACTGCATTGGAATATATTAACTTTTAATTTCCTGTTCTGTGCCATGTGGGGCATTGCAGAGTCAAACTCTTAAAATGCAAAAAGTTCATTCCATCTGTCTTCAGAGATGACCAGTGGGGAGAATGGAAATTATCTCCTACCAATACTGTAGGTTAGTGGCAATTAGGAAAAATCTGTTAGTACATTAAAAATGAGAGCAGAAATTTATCTTGTCTTGCAAGCTTTCCCCTGGTTTTTCTCATCGTATCCCATCCAAAGGTATTTTTTAAACTGTGTGGATTAAAACAGCTCTTATTCCCTACTTTGTGCTTATAATGACATAGTCACAGATGTTACTATGCAAACCACTTAAAAAAAAAAAAATAATAATTTTTTTTCCAAGTTTGATACTGTAAATCTTTATTAAAAGAAATTGCCAGTCCAGGGCTCCCTGGGTGGTGACCTGGAGGGGAATGAAATGTCCTGGCTAAAACTTCCACAGAGGGATCAGAATTGCAAGGTAACGTGGAGGGAGGAATGACCCGAAAGCTGCTGACTGCATTGGAGACCCAGCTCCTCCACCCTGGAGGGCCCTCCAACTTGGGGCTGTCACGTTGCATTCCTCTGGGGCTCGGGTTGTTTCTGTTGGGTTGGTTTGTTTTGTTTGTGGTGTGGATTTTTTGTTTGTTTGTTGGGGTTTTTTTGGTTTATTTTTTTGTGTGTTGTTGTTGTTTTTTTCTCTCCGTCCTGCACTTGCAAGCCTGACACCCAGGGCTGGCAGCACAGGGGAGCTGGCTGAGCCCAGTGTCGCCCGGCAGCTCCGCCCGGCAGCCGCGCCTCTCGCTTGTCTCTTCGCCGCAGTAGTTGGGATGCTGGGGCTCCCTTTGCTGACCCCATTCATTCGTCCTGCCCCGCTGAGGAACGGGGGTTCTGGGTTTGAGTGCTGGGATCCTCTCCCCTGGGTCTGGCCTTTCTTTGGTTACTCCTCATCCGAAGTGTGACGTGGGAACCGCAGGCTGGGGCGGGAGGCAGGAGATGCAAGCGTGGGGCTGGGACTGGGAGG